TCTATTAAATTTTAAACAGTTATCTGGGGAAAAAATGTATAAATAAAATGTATCTCCCCTAGTAGTGCATTGGCCTGGCAATATATTTCAAGTCTACCATTGACTGGACTTAAGGTGATTTGAACAGTTTCTTTGTCATAATTTAAATGTAATCTGTTTCTGACTGTTGAAGAGCATGCTGTTAGAAAGTTTTCATATTATTGCCCCAAGTCTCCTTCAGTCTTCAACCTACTGCTGCATTTGAAAATCAGTTATGTTGTTATATTCTCCTTCAATATTTCCAGGCAGGAAATACTTGACAAAAAGTTTTTTTCTAATGCTATTATGCAGCTGAAGGATATTGACTTTATGCAATGACAGTGCCAAGGGCTCTTTGGATAACTATTAGAACACTATTTTCTCATCAGTGTGGGTAGTTTACATTGTAAAACTACTGGTGGCTGTTAATGTAACTCTGTCCTGAGTGTAATATAAATGAGGGATAACCAACATTGTGCCCCCTAGATGTTGTTGAACTGCAACACCTATCAGACCAGTACAAACAGCCAAAGATGCTCGGAGTTGTAGACCAACATCTGGACGGCACCACATTGGCCATCCTGCTATGCATACTTATTTGACAAAATCATTCAGTAATCTAGATATAACCAAAGTCCTAATAATTGAACAGAGTGCTTTCTTCAGAAACCTTAGGACAGGCTTCCTCAACCTCAGCCCTCCAGATGTTTTGAGACTACAATTCCCAGCACCCCTGACCACTGGTCCTGCTAGCTAGGGATCATGGGAGTTGTAGGCCAAAAACATCTGGTGGGCCATGGTTGAGGAAGCCTGCCTTAGGAGAAGCAACAGCAATGTAGAAGTAACAACTGAAGCTGCAAAGCAAGCTTCACCCTTAGATCTGATGTGAGCTAAAGTTATGTATACATATTGGCGTCTCATTCTGTGAAGAGAAATTATTCACGTATGCAAAGAGGTTCTTCCTTGTCCAGTGCATATTGGAGTCACTGTACTGTGTTCTTAAATCAGTTGTAATTCCATAGTTTTGATGGAAATAATTCTTGACACATATAAATTAGTTGTTCACTACAAATAATTTTTTATCTTGCAATTATCTTTTCAGGTTTATTAAAATGCATGTTTACAACCTTGAAAAAATATATTTAATTCCTATTGATTGTATGAGTTGCACATATGGATAGTTCATATAAAAGTTCAAACGAGGGGCTAAACATATTTTGATTGGCATACAAGTTGGGGTGTTTGTAATTTTAATCAAAATTTAAATTAAGACATACTTCAAATAATATGTCAGAATGATGCTATTGAATTTAAAGTCTAATGACAACTGCTTTCACTGCTAGTAAAAACATAGCCATTGTGCCTGTGGCAATACAGAATGGCACTTCAGAGCATGCAGAAACAAAGAAGTCAAGTATTTAAAGAACAGGGAGTGACTAAAACTGAAGATAGGAATGTGACCTGGCTATAACCATTGCAGCAAATTGTATTTTGGTTAGAAGACGTAATTATATTAAAGATAGTTGGATTTTCAATGCATAATTTAAATTTGGAAAAGTTGGTTATTAAAGCAGAAAAATGTTTTTTTGTTTTCTGTTAGGATCTATTGAATTAAATTGTAATAACTTCATTTTTTACAAAAGGGTCATAGTCTCAACCAATCCCCCCTCTCTTACCACCTGCACATAGAGAGCCAGACCATCGGTCTACCTAGTTTGAGTAGCTTATGGTGTGTGTGTGTGTGTGTGTGTGTGTGTGTGTGTGTGTAGCTTTCTGTTGCTTGCGGTCTGATTCATAGGGACCCATACAGCACATTGTACTATCTCCTGGGTTTGAGAGAGGACATTCCCAGCCTTACCTAGATTGAACCTGGAACCTTCTGCTTGCAGAGCAAATGCTCCACCACAGAGTTGTAGCTCTTCCCCTCGAGGACTGCACCTCAGAAGATGTGGCCACTATTCTGACAAACAGCTGCTCAACAGGAAGGACTTTTGCTACCCAGGGGGATTAATCATGACCTGCTGCCTCCCATGGCCTAATAGGCATATAGGCATGAACCCTCAAGGTGTGAATTGAGGGACAGTTAATCAGGAGGATTCTAATCCACTCAGTGAGGTTGACTATCCCAACCACGCTTTCTTCAGCACCTTGGTGTTCGTGTTGGCCAGGCGATAGCAGCAGCACTGGTTGAAAATTCCTTGGCTCTTGAGGCAGTTGATGAGAGACACCAGCTCAGGTTTGGTTATTCTGGTACTCAAAGAAGCCCTAGGGAGCTTCAGTGGCAGTGTTGGTGGCAACAGTGGGAGAGGCACTGCTGCAGGAAATAATGATGGTGGCAGTACCACCCGCAGCAGCTGGGATACTGAGCAGCAATGACTGAAGACAAATGGACTCAGCTTCATCCTTTAGCATTTTGCACAAATTCCTTAGCAGCACTTCAGTTTAAAGAAAGAGTTGCATGTCTGAAATGTATAGAAAAATATGGAAGAAACAGAGTATAACAATGCAAATTTCAAGATTAAAAATGCAGGTGTCTTTTGTAACTCATATTTTAGAGTTACAGTCCTAGTGGAGAAGCCAGTGACCAATGATATATATTCAACAAGATGTGAACAAAAAACCCAATCCAACATCATCTAACTGAAAGTAGTAGTACCAGTTAATAACCTAGGAGGGGCTGGTGAAACCGACCCTCACTGAGGATGCAGTCAGAGGGAGGCACAAAAACCACCTATCGGATGATGGAGTGTATGACATTTTTGTGTGTGGCGATGCACCACTGCTTTCGTGGCAAAATCAAACATGGGAGAAGCTTTGCATCCTTCTCACACTGCAATACAAAAGTGTGTTTTTGTTTTGTTTTGCCTTTCCTCCTTACCTTGCCCTCACTCAGAATGTTTCAAGTACTTGGGTCATGTAAAATGTTGTAATTTATAATGTGGCTATTGTGGCAAAGTGATTGTGGGTGTGCTGACACAGCAAGGGACCCTAGCTGCTCCTCTGCTCCACTTGCTTTCCAAAGGCCTTAGTCATGTTTTACATTAGCTGGATCAGGACCACAAGGGTGCTATGAAAACTTTTAAAATGTCACAATCATGTTTTAACCCTAGCTAAAAGGTACAGCGAAATTTATGCATTTGAATCAACTGGAAAAAATCACTTGCACCATCCTAAAAATTGTTTGTCTATCTTAACTGAAAGTATGATTGCTTATTTTACTGTATAAGTTGTTCCTATCCTTCACATTTATTTGCTGCAGCTTAACGTTACTGTTGAATAACTATTGTGCTTTTACGTGTGTGTTGTATGTGGAAAGATTTAATATTTAGCGCATCGTAGCAACAAAGGGAGTGCTTTGAGATGAGGATATTATATGAGGATATGAGAGAGCCAGTGTGGTGTAGTGGTTAGGAGCGGTAGTCTCGTAATCTGGTGAACCGGGTTTGCTTCCCTGCTCCTCCACATGCAGCTGCTGGGTGACCTTGGGCTAGTCACATTTCTCTGAAGTCTCTCAGCCCCACTCACCTCACAGAGTGTTTGTTGTGGGGGAGGAAGGGAAAGGAGAATGTTAGCCGCTTTGAGACTCCTTAAAGGGAGTGAAAGGCGGGATATCAAATCCAAACTCCTCCTCCTCTTCTTCTTCTTCTTCTTCTTCTTCTTCTTCTTCTTCTTCTTCTTCTTCTTTGAGATGAGGATATTAAAACTCACTCAATTTCCACTCCCTTTTTGACAACTGCAGTTTTTCCATTTTAGATTTTTTTGGACTTTGTTATTGCTTTGAAGATGAAAAGGCACCCTGGAAACAGCAAATTGTTATATCCATTTGTGCAACAACCTTTTTACCTCAAAGCTCCAAAATCTACTCCAGAGGGTCTTTACTTCCCCAAGAATCTGTGTGTTCCTATTAGAACTGAATAAAGTAACTATTCATTTTTTGTCATGGACCTAGTGAGGCTTATCAAGTTACATTTTAAGATCCCGAATGCCTTGCAAGTTGAATATTTTGACTCCCGAATGCCACAAACCCGGAAGTGAGTGTTGCGGTTTGCGAACGTTCTTTGGAACCCGAACGTCCGCCGGGGCTTCCGGTGCTTCCAATTGCTTGCAGGAGCTTCCTGCAGCCAATTAGAAGCCGCGCTTTGGTTTTCGAACATTTTGGAAGTCGGACAGACTTCCGGAATGGATTCCGTTCGACTTCCAAGGTATGACTGTATTCCATTTTAAATCTATAAGACTTGGGGGCAAGAACAATAGCATGCCCACTTTTGTTCTCTCCTACCTCACCCAGCTTGATAAAAGGTGTTGAAATACTGCGGCTTTTTCAGCATAGTGTGTTTTGGAAAGCAGTGAGTCAAACTCCTGGGATTGTTCCCACCCTATTCTTACTCTTTAGATTTGTATCCCAACTTTTAGCCAAATTGGTTCCCAAAATAATTGGTTAAGAGTTAAATACGTAACTACTATTTCAAATTCTAGATTTTCTGTGATGTTATGTAGGTCATTCAGACTTATAGAGGAGAATTAGGAAGTGAACTGTTAAATGGATCATTTGTGAGATACATTATGAATAGTGTGAACCAAAGCAAATGCAGGTTAAGAACCGGAGACAAGAACCTTTGCTTTTATGAAGCAAAGGTGATGAAAAGCATTTATTTTTGTAGATGGAGAAGTAAAATGTTCCTCTCTGATCAGTTACAGAGGCATGCTAAGGTGAATTTTAATTATGACTAAATTGTGGTATTACTCTTTCATACCCTGAACATCTGTTCCCTTCAGGAATGATGATTTATGCAGGCTATCAGTAGAGACAGCTTGCTACAGCTTATGTCACGGTTTGTGGGAAGATGGGGTCGTATTTCCAAAAATATCAGCTTTTATATGGATACCAGCCAGTGTGTTATTAAGGTAATAGGGGAAAGGGAGCACGATGTGTTCGCTTTTAATTCTGAAGCCAAATATTGACTTTACCTTTTCCCTTCCAGACCATCTGTTGTTAACGAAGAAGGCAACTTGGACACTGAATGGCCTAGTCTTTCCTAAAGGTATCAAGAGGAGAGAAACCAAGCCTGTACTATCCACATGTATGAAGACACTTACAGAGAAGCCCACTGTCAGATTTTTGGTGTTTAAGAACTGTATGGGGCAGGATGGTTATGAAATATCATCTCCCCCAGACCAGAATGAAAAGGTAAGCTTGCATGTGGCAGAGCACAAATATGTGAAAAATATCATTCCCCTAATGCCCTTATATTACTTATTTATCCATTTTACTTATATGATTGCAATAGAGATTCATCAGCAGATTTTATTTAAAAAAAATACCCACACCCAGTTCACTGGACTCATGTTATTATGCACTGCAGTTATTGTTTTTGTTTTAATTAGGCCATTATCTTCCATTGTTCTACTCTGGAATTGCCCCCATTCATGTCCATGTAACCACTTCAAAAAAGACACAGTAATTCAAAATGCAGAACATCATGGTGGCTTTTTTTTTTTTACTGCCTTGGTGTACTTATGATATCCATGGGGTAGAAAAGATGAATAGATTTGTATCTGTCAAGTTATAGAGCTTTGCAAAGACTTTATAGTACATATGCTTGGGTTTTTTTTAATTTGTGTGGAGGAAAAAAGAAAAACAAGAAGGTAAAGAAACTTGAAGGAATTACCTGATATGGAGAACAGCAGAAAGGGAATGGAGAATGGAGATTTAAAGAAAGTAGAAATGGTAGCTTCTTAGGTCTTGCCTGGTGCAAAATGAGAGAGGTAGAACAAAACAAAAGCCTAAAACTTAGTGTCTCTTTGCTTAATCAAGTTTACTTCTTTTTTATACTCTTTCCCCTAAGCAAAATATTAGGGTAGGGATGAACAATATGTTTTCATGAAAGAAATAAGATTCTATTGCAAGGACCCCAAAGTTACCACTTTCCGTATTCTTCTCTTCCTTGGCCTGACATTTTTCTTAGTTACTCCAACTGACGTTTGGTAATATGGTCCCTTTATAGCAATATTTGGGGGATCACATAGAAAGGGAGACAAAACAGTTTGCTTATTCAGATCGAGAGCAGTACAGTGTGGGAAATACTGGCCTCTCTGCCTCAGGTCTCATCCACACTTTTGCCTGACCCATATTTTGATTGTATTGTGTCTTGATTAATTTCCTCAACTCTGGGAGCCTTTCTTGTTCTAGGCCTGTGCCTTGTCAAAATCCAATCTTATCCACTGAATCAGATCTTATCAGATGTGTGGAAAATCTGAAGAGAGCTTTTGCTTAACACTTCAGTGGGTAAGACTGGGTTTTCACAAGGCACAGCTATGGACCAATGAGAAAAGTTCTCAGATCCAAGGTAATTAATAAGCGCACAGTATGATCAAAATACAGGTCAAGCAAAAGTGTGAAAGAACCTTTAGTTGGCTTTGCCTGATTGGCTAATGAACATTGTGACTTCTACACATTCACTATGTGATCGCTGATTGGTTGGTATCACTTGAGGAATGTGGAATCAGCAGAAGAAATAAGTAGAAAGAGGGAACCTTAGTTGTGAACTGCCACAAATAAAGGTAGAATTAAGGGCACATGGCAGCCCCTACAAAATCATTACTTTCTCCCAAGAAAACAAACTGTGTAACCATACAGTGTTGATCAAATATTTTTTTATTCCTTTAAAAAAATCTTCTAAGTTTTCCATATTTAGTGAAACTATTTTTAATTTGTGAAGTTTTTAGATGCTTGTACCATGAGACTGAACCTTGTTTCACCAGCAAAGTATATGTATAATATGCATGGAGAAAAAATTGAAGATCTCTTGAGTGGTAAGTAGAAATTACTATACATTTTGCAGTTTTTTATTAGTATAAATGAATGCCATGCATCAGCTACTGTATATATAAATGTGTGAAAAAAATGAAGGCAATTGGAATTACTGCCTTATATTTCAAAAGCAGGCATATGTATATTTATCAATATGAACTTAGTATCAAAAATTATTATTCCACTATGCTAAAAGAGAAGAGAGAATTCATATGCAAAAGTCTCACCCTCTTTGATAATCCATAGCATCTGGTTGCAGCCTTTTGTGTTTCAGTCTTGATTTTAGCCTGGCATTTTAAGCTTGCTGTGAACTGACATTTGTGGCTACTTCTTAAGGTCAGGAAAATAGTTTTTAGCCAGGGTACCTGATGAGGACCTAAGCAGAACCCTACCAGATCAGACTGAAGGTCCATCTAGTCTCGTATCCTGGTCTCTGTGACCAAGCAGATGCGTATGGAAGGTGTGCAAACAGGACATGGGATCGATGGCACTCGCCCCATTCATCTTCCTCAGCAGTTGGTATTCAGAGGCATTCCACCTGCAGTACTGGAGGCAATAGTCAGCTGTCATGACTATTAGACATTGATGGCCTTATCCTCCATGAATTTGTCTAATCCCCCTTTAAATCTCTCCAAGTTGGTGGCTATCACTATATTTTGTGGTAGTGAATTCCATAGTTTCATCCTCTATTCTGAAGAAGTACTTCCTTTCGTCATTCTGTGTTCAGCATCATTGGAATATAGGAATAAAACCCTATATCCATTTTACCCACACCATGCATAGCTTTTTCACACCTGTCATGTTCTCCAGCTATAGTAACTTTTCCTCATAGGGGAGCTGATCCAGCCCCTTACTCACTTTGATTGTTTTCCCCCGTCCCCTTTTCCAGCTCTACAATATTCTTTTGGGCTTGCAGCAACCAGAGTGTTGGCAGCTTGGTTTTGCCTTCCTTGTAGCCAGTAGGCTGCAATTTGTGGCTGGTCTTGCTGGACAACCCAAAACATCTGGCTCCAGCACCCTAACTATCCTTCTTGTCCCCGATCTCATACTGCGACTCCGTATGAGGACATGGACAATCTATGCTCTTCTTTCCAGCTCTAGGTTGTATGGGGTGTGTGTGAAGCCTGCAATTGCACTGGCCTTTGGAAGAGCTTGGCAACCCCACACTACTGCAGGGATGATTCTCATCTTCCTCTCCAGTGCCAAAGCTAGAGCTGAGACCGGGAAGGCTGGAGTCTAGTTTTGTATGCCAATGCCTTCTATGCACCTTGGCAGCCCATTGCTGAAACACCAGACTGAGCCTTCATCTTTGGCTCAGAGCTGGAAAGGGGGCAAAGAATCTTACCCATGGATAGGCAAACTAAGGCCCGGGGGCCGGATTCGGCCCAATCGCCTTCTAAATCCGGCCTGTGGACGGTCCCGGAATCAGTGTGTTTTTACATGAGTAGAATGTGTCCTTTTATGTAAAATGCATTTCCGGGTTATTTGTGAGGCATAGGAATTTGTTTCCTCCCCCCCCCAAAAAAAATAGTCCAGCCCCCCACAAGGTCTGAGGGACAGTGGACCGGCCCCCTGCTGAAAAAGTTTGCTGACCCCTGATCTTACCCATTGCTGTGGTACATTTCTGAGCTCATTGCAGCTTTGAAGACTATCCACATACTTCCTCGGCTCCAAATGGGAGAGGATGTTTGGGGTTTCTCTTGCTATTCTTCCCAGAGGTGATCCAGGTGGAAGTGAATCCACAACCTGATTGGCCTGCAGGTGAATCCCGGAATTAGCCAATCACCTGGGGCCCATTGTGTAAATAACGTATATAAAGCAGACATTCTGGGGGAACTTCCATTCCTCCTCACCACTATGAGCTGAATAAAGAGCATGAAATCCACTCTCGACTCCAAGTATATCTCATGCAGTATTAAGGATTGTGAGCAGAATTGTGGATTCCTGTTTGTAGTAACTCTCGGAATACATGCTCTTCAAATTTTGTGTTACAGTTCAAAGTTTGCTTTGTGGCTGCACCTTATTCTCTTGAATTCCCAGCCTATTTGTATTAGGGAGGCACATACATTTTACCATTTCCAGTGCCTGCTAAAAATGTTTTTGTTTATGCAAATCTATCCAGACATGTAATTTTATTACATACATTTGTGTTTGTTTGATTTTTTTTAAAAAAATGTTTTTATCTATATTTTATGTTATTGCTATTTTAATGAATATTTGATACCATTTTATGTAAACTACTTAGACTTTGTTATTGAACAGTATATAAACCTTGCTAAATAAACAAATACATTTTATTCTAAGGTGCAAAAATAGAATGTGTAGCTAACTAGCTTCTGGCAGTCATACTTAACTGATGCAGTTGATCATGTTTTACTTTAATTTAACAGAGATTAATTATGCATGGCTGTTTGTCACAAAGCCGTGGAAGCAATGAGTAGATTCTTTTTCAAGTCTTCAGACGCTATTGGTCAAGATTAAGCCAAAGTTAATCAAGTTTAAAACCCATTGGTTTAAATGGTAGTGTTGGGCATCTGCTTTCATTGAAATTAGTAAGACTTAAGTGCTTGGCTGGACTGTGCTCGTTGTTGTTTCATTACTAAATGCAATTGCTTCTGGTTATTTGCTTTTACTTTCCTTGATCCATCACTCTTTGAGTAATACCTTAACATGTTGCAGTAGCCAGCCACCAGCTAAAAATGTCACTAGTTGATTGCATACCTAAGGCTAGCATAACAAATTTATTTGCTTTGAGGCTTAAATAATGGTGACAGAGTTGTTTCAAAGTTATAGTGCCGAATGATACTTTTATTGCCGGAGTTATTGAAATATATTGATAATACAAGGAGTGAAAAAGAATTGAATAATAAAGTTGAACACCATTTTTGTTTGTATAGAGAAAGATGTATAAATATCCTTTCTACTTTGACCTGTGTAGACTTTTTCTATAACATTGTATGTACAGTGATAGAAGTAGGAAAGAGGCATAAAGTCTATTGGAAAACTACCAAATGTCCCCTGCAAATGGGCCCTATTCAGAATCAGTAAGCGTATGATGAGTGATTTGGTTTTGAATATCGCCTTTAGATTCCATGCTGTTACAAGGCCAGCCCCGAACATGGCAACTCTTATTTCCACACACAGTACCTCTTCACTCTCAATTTAACCCAAAAATCTGATGAACCCATTACTCCATACTTGATTTCATGGAACAAGGAGTAGATATAGTTACAAATGATCAATCACAAGCCGTGAACCAAAGCAGCAAGGCATTAACAATTCACACCATTTTGGTCCACTTGCTCAAGCAGAAGATGTGGCAGCATATTTAATACACAGCGACTTCACTCAGTTTTAGAAAAGACATGACTCATGTTGCATTTTAGAAATGAAGGAATTTTATAGGATTTCATGCTCGCTACCCATTTGGGTGTCAGAGTTCATGAACATCTAAACAATTAACGTAACCAGGTACTCTGTAAAGGCCACAAGGGACGAGTATCTAAATTAAATGTTACTCAAGTAAAGTAAAAAATGACCCAAGAAACGTTTCATCCCCAATAAAGCCATGTTCTGTTAGATTGCATTATACAAATCAGCATCTTGTTCTGCAGTATTGTAACACTGTAGACCCCACAGGCATATGCCGTCAATTTAATGGGATCAGTGAAGAAGCAAGGCAGCTGTGAAAGATTGCTTTAAGTACAGCAATCGTGTGCTTGTCATTCTGCTCAATAGTGGAAAAATCCAAATTCGGGTAGGCATCAGTATTTAAGAGAGTGAATGCTAAAGCATCTCTCATAAGTACCTTGGGGACAATAAGATTTGACATATAACACATAAACAAAAGTACACAACAGCTGTTAGATTAGTTTTGTTTGAGTAAAATACGTCAGGATCATTTAAACATAGCATGTGTTCCCTCCATCACTCAGGCTGAGTCTGCAGACCACACTTTTGAATATTGTACACCAAGGGCTGAGAGTCCCACAGTTGCATCAGGATTACCAAAACAGTATGGGGAAAAAAACATCCAGCTAATTGTATGCTTGATTAAAAACTCCCACCAGTCACACAAGAACAAAATCTTCTTTAAAAAATCATTTAAATCTATTTGATGAAGGCGGCGGAAACCAAATGTTTATTTAAGTTTTGATTGAATGCCCTATATGGATTTTTAAGATGCTATTTCAACATTATTATTATTTATCCAGGCTTTTGTTTTGAAACACATTTCTTATTAATTTTTTTCTACTATTGCCCATAAGAGCACCCTGAGATGATATAAGTTACATTAAGAGGGCTGAAAAAGATAAACTTGGTGGTATCTGGCAGCTACTTCAAATATGTGACGTAAGGGGTCACAAAAAGAGACTAACAAGAATAAGAGAGTGGTAACCTGGTAGAAGGGTGATTATAATTCTTATACTGTAGTTTTTAATCTGTTGTTGTTGTTTAGTCGTCTTAGTCATTTCGACTCTCCATGACCCCATGAACTAGAGCATGCCTTGGAAACTCTCACTTTCTTCTCAAAGCTTCTCCTTTTTATGTCCATTGAGTTTTCTTGGCAAAATACTGGAGTGGTTTGCCAGTTCCTTCTCCAGGTGGACCACATTTAGCCTAAACTCTTGGCTATGACCTGTCCATCTTAGGTGGCCCTGCATGGCATAGCTCATAGCTTGCCTGAGTTATTCAAGCCCCTTTGCCACAACAAGGCAGTGATCCATGAAGGGGAGTTTTTAATCTAGATACGTACAAAATAACTCAAATAGTTCTTAAGTAAGGCTGAAAGGTTTTCACTGTATGGCAGTAGGCCATAGCATCTGAAGTTGCTTTCTTCCAGTGTGTGATATAGCAGAAGTATCAGGTCAGCGCCATTTCCCCTCGTCACAAAGAGCTCATGAGCCCCGCAATCCCAACTGGCTCAGAGCCGGGTTGGCAGTTGCTGTCAGAGCAGGAAGAAGAGGGGAGGGTATGGAGGACACCATTGGCAGGGAGAAGC